CGCCAGGCCGCCAGGCCGCCAGGCCGTCTTTTGCAGTTTTGCAGTGGCAGTGGAGGTTTTGAGATTGAGGTGTTCATAGCTCTACCCAGCGGAACCGCTTCGCCTTGCCATGGCGGCGCCTGCTGCGCGGAAACTTGCGAAGGCGCCCAAGCAGCGAGAAAATCAAGGGCATTTTTTTGGCTCTGCACAGCTATCTTTCCAAACGTGCAGGACATCGAGGTGGTGGCAAGCTTAGACACTGTTCGTGTGTTCGTGCATGCTTGCTGACTGGGATTTTGCTGGAATTTGCAGGTCCTTAAAAAAGCCCATGAGGGCTGTGAAGAGTTTGACGAGTGTCTTGGCACAATCCCGCTTCTGTGTAAAGAGCTCTTCTGCAGAAATCTTCCCTGATTGTTTCAGGTTTTGGGACCAGATTGCCACGGCGCAAGGGTCCCAGAAGGAAAGACTGGGCGAGGAGCTAAAAAAGCCACGACCTCAGCAACCGGTTGTTGGAGAGCCTCAGCAATCAGTTTTGGGGCCTGAGGGATTCTCAGGGACGCTTCGGTGAGGATCAAGACATGCCCGTTGATGCAGGTGCATCAACAAGCAGCAAAGACTCAGATCCCAGATGAGAGACTGGCTCGTCAGCTTCCAAGTGTCTGAGAACGCATTCCTTAGCTGCCAATGTTTTGCTGCGCTTGCAGGGATCACCTCAAGTCCCAGCCCCTTTGAAGGACAAGCTGGAGGAGGCAGGTCATGTGAGCACCAGGTGCTCTGGCATAAGCTGGCTCCTAGTAACCTAGTAATTCGGGGCAGGCCAGAAAGCGAATAGAAAGCGACATGGCGAGATTCAAGGCCAGGCTTCGGCTCTCCCGCTGCTCCCGCTCTACCCCAGGCCGGCCCAGGCCCAGCCATCACACGGCTCCCGTCAGGACTTCGAGCGAGAGTTCAAGACCAAGGCCTTCTCCTACACTGGCTTGGTGTGGAGCAAAGGATGGGGGGGAACCTCTCGGGCTCTTTTAGGACGGTGAAGCCTAAGGCGAAGACCGACGAGTTAGACCTAGAAGAAGCCGAAAAAGTCAAGTCTCAGGACTGGCCTGGCTCCCGAGACGAATTCGTGGTAGGAAGGCCGCGACGTCGCTTTTTTTTCTTCGCTCCCGAGGCTGGCACAGACCATTCAGAGTCTCAAGGACCAGCTGGACCAGTTCGAGGCGCGACGCCTAGCCCTAGCCTGCTCTGAGTCGTGAGCCGTCTGAGGCTGATCTGGAGTTGCTGCAGGGCAAAAGGCTTGCCTTTCGTAGATCTGAAGCAGCCTTGCCCGACTTGAGTTTGCTGCCTGGCCAGGTCCTTAAACAGCGACGAGAAGTCCAGATTGCCCAAGCTCCAGACAGCTCAAGACAGGTCTGGTGCCCCTTGTACCGAACGTCTCCATTTTACCACCTGCCAGGACCCGCTGGCATATCAAGAAGCTAGAGCAGTTGTTGAGAGCTGTCAGCAACGATGCAGTTGAAATCAGCGACTTGGCGGTTGCCTGGCTGCAGCTTTTGGACGCTTCCACTGTTGTCTCTCTCTCTCTCTCTCTCTCCCTCCCTCCTGCAGAGGTTGTTCGAGACAGCATCGATTGTTATGTCGAAGCCGGCGAGGACTCGTCAGACTTGCCAGGGGGAAGCCAGGTCCAAAGTGTGCGGTGGACACGCCAAGCAGGATTCTGATGGAGTCCACGACGAGACGCTCTACGACTACTTCGTGCGCCCCCAGCCGCCACCCACTTCCGTTCCCCCCCCCGCTCTGCTGCCATATTAGACTCTGTTTGAGAAGCGGGGTGCGTGTGGCGACGGTGTTCGTGTTTGGCTGTCTTTAGGATCTGGCAGACTACGAGGAGAAGGTCGCTCCCGCGAGGACGGCCACAGCTGGGCCTGTTGGCTGGCCTCTTCTTTTGCTTTCTTTCTTTTGGTTGGTGGGTTTTTTAGCTAGTGGAGGTCATGCCCTAGTTCGCGGACTACCGTCCAACCATCTTACCATATACCCCTAATACCACCTTAACCCCGTAACCTCCAAAGCCCTTAAGCCCGTAACCTCCAAAGCACTTAAACCCGTAACATCCAAAGCCCTTAAACCTGTAACCTCCAAAACCCTTCACCCAACCTTACCACCATCCTTACCAAAAGCCAACCCCCAACCCAAAAACCTACCAAAACACCTGTTCGCGAACCGGGGCGTGACCCTTATTTAATTTTCATAATTAAATTTTTATGAAAACTAAACATAACACGCCATCTATTGCTATTTTACCTTACCCCCTTACGAATTTCAAGAGCATTTTTACAACATTTACTACTTTTCATCTTACAGCTTTTATCAAATATCTTTCTTGACAAGTCATCATGACAAGAAGATAACATTTTGAGATACATGATAACTTCATCCGAATCATATCATGAATAGCTTGTATTTTGTTATTATACCTAATTATCTTTTTGTTTATATCTTCTATGTCTTGATTGAGTTCTTCGAGTTCAGTTTCAAATATTTTCAGTTCTTCTTCTTTCTCCTTTATCAACTCCCCGCTCATACTCTCTCATTTATATGTTATTTTCTCTTTAAGCATTTTTCTCCTAAAACCCTCCTAAATCCTATAACTAACAATAATGTTTTCCAATCTCTCATCTAACTCTCTCAACGTATCTGCACTCTCTAACTCTTTCATAATTCTTTTTCTTTCTCTCTCTATTTCTTATATCTTCTGCTTATGTATTTTGCTATTCAAGTGCCGACACAAAAAATTGTGTTTATCAATAACCTTACCACATACCACACAACGATGAGTTACATACACAGATACGTTTTCCATCACTACATTCTTAATTCAGCGTTCACTTAAGTCGCTTTTCGTTCAAGACAAAAGGACTCAACGACAAAACGCCTTAATATATTAGTCATATAAACATGAGTGAGACAGAGAAACTGAGAAAACTGTTAAGAAAGTTAAATCTTTTATTAAGAATAATCCCTATCCAAAATATGAAGAAGTTGTAGAAACATTAATTAGTATTGCTCGCCCAGTGCCAACTGCTAATTCAAAACAAAAAGTATTCAATATGATAAGCGAATATGGAAGAGAAAATCACGAATGGATGAAAGAGGATATGAAAACATAATGGATGAAAAAGTAATAAAAGAAAACGGTAAAAAGATTAATAGTAGAGGGGGTAAAGTAGCAATGGTTGAAAACTACTATGTTATAGTTAATATTTTAGGCGATAAAACAGACGAGTTAAAAATGCAACACGATGAAGTAGTAGAAATTTTATATCCGATCAAAACACAAATTAGTGAATGTTGGCATGGTATAGGTGAATGGAGACACTAATAATTACTACTATTTTGTATTCAAAATACTATTAATTATTCCCCTTCTGCTATATTGTTATTCTGCATCATTATTACATGTCTCTTATGATATTCACGAGACCTATCTAAACACCTTCTAAACGCTTTATTAATCCTATCCCCTTTCTTGTTATGTATAAACTCTATCAAGTCCGTAAATCCATTACAAAAAGTACGTTGTTTATGTATTTTGCCTTCTTCACCAGTCAATTTAGGCTTTTCACTAAACTCAATTTAATATCTTCTTTTTTCATATTATGATACTTTACAAACTCATTATCATTTTCTGTAACTTTACTTCTTCAGCTTCCTTCTTTTCTTCTTCAACAGACGTTTCTAATTTGTCAATTCTTTCTTCTAAGTCTTCTGGTGTAACACGGTTAGAACCAAAACCAGCATCGCATATTTCAACGTTCCCGCTTTGCAATGCACTGTTTGGTTTAAAAATTACATCAGGACTAANNGTGCCTACCACCAAAATTAATATTTCCCCTGTCTTCAATAGTATTCGTCGTCGTTACATTGTTTCCTGTGTTTGTCTTAGTTTCTTTATGATAAAGTTGTTTCTTACATCTACACGGAATGCAAGAGATACCAGACGGTTTCATATGAAATCCATTATTTTTGACAGATTTACTTGTATCGCTCATTATATACATTACTAATTACAAATAACTATTCTTAAATTCGTAGGGGTTCATCGGGGGTTGTCTTCTCCAAAACGAATTCTGAATTACTTGTTATAATATCTTACACTGTAACTTTCGCAAGTATTTATAACCCCTTGGACTATTTCACCGGCAATACACGGGGCTCTTTACCCACTATTTAATTTCTATTACTTCTAAATACTATTAATGAGTAATGTTCCAATAGTCAAACCGATAAACGTAAAAGATTACGAATTTAAACAATCTGAATATGAAGTCGCGCCTAGATTACCGTTCTCAATGATTATAACTGGCCCTTCTGGATGCGGTAAGGGAGTTCTGCTACAATCGCTTAATTTTAGACAATTACCGAGACGTTTTCGCAAGAGTTTATGTATGGTCGCCCTCTGTTTCTATTGACCCGAATTGGACACCTGTTAAACGCTACATAGAAACAGAATTGAAGGTAATACAGAAAAGGAAAATGTTTTTTTGATGAATACAATCCGTCAGAACTGGAAGCGATAATAAGTAGACAACATAAAACAACGGAGTATCAAAAGAAGAACGGTCATAAACAATTACATTCAATACTAATCATTGTGGATGACTTTGCGGATTCAAAGGAATTTTCAAGAAACTCGCCTTTATTAAATCAATTATATGTGAGAGGCAGACATAAAGCCTGTTGCACTATAACGGCTACTCAGAAATTCAATTCACTGAGCCCTATCATCTGTGTCAATTCAAGACAGCTTTTCTTCTTCCGGTTGAGAAATTACAAAGAAATTGAGACAATGGTTGAAGAATTAAGCGCCGTCTTGATTAAGAAATCAACTGTGGCAGATGCTAAAAACCTTGCGGAAGCAAAGAAATTATTGCTAGAGGTGTATAACGTGGCAACGGAAGAACTTTACAGCGGTCATTCAAAACCGTCTTTGCCTGTTTTGGCGTTGGCGGTCAAAAGCCCGTCTTTCGTGAAGAAGTTGAGCCTGTCAAAGCCCCACACAGCACTGGCGTTCCCATCAATGAAGTGTTTCATCTGCTTCACTGTGAGCTTGGGGTGAACGGGGTAGAAGCCGTCCTTGGAGCGTGAGTATATGTTGAGGGGGTTCTTCCTGAAATAGACTGCAAGGGGCAGGTCACCTGTCACAGAGTGAATGTACAAGATGTCATGGAAGGTGTGGTAGACGTCTTCCAACAAACTCAAACGAGGGTGAAATCTGTTCTGATAGAGAACCTCGAACTTCTTAAACTTGTCGCTCGCGTTTTTCACACTCGCAGCATGAAGACCAAGCTGTTCCAGTGTGAAGTCTAGCGAAGACCCAGGAAGCTCCACCACAAACGCTGTGCCCGAATCTTCGTAAAAGTAGTCTCGCAAGGCCACTTGAACGAGCATCGGCATGACGGTTTTTTTCTTGAAAGAGGAAGACCGCATAAGAGCAACATGTCTTGCTCAACCTGCGTGCAATGCAGAAGCTGATAAGCACGTCCCTTGCGCACTCACTTGCAATAAGAAATCATGTCTGGCGCACCTTCTGCTCGTCCAAATTGAAGCAGGAAGACGCCCCGGTTCGCGGACAGGTGTTTTGGTAGGTTTTTGGGTTGGGGGTTGGTTTTTGGTAAGGATGGTGGTAAGGTTGGGTGAAGGGTTTTGGAGGTTACGGGTTTAAGGGCTTTGGATGTTACGGGTTTAAGTGCTTTGGAGGTTACGGGCTTAAGGGCTTTGGAGGTTACGGGGTTAAGGTGGTATTAGGGGTATATGGTAAGATGGGTTGGACGGTAGTCCGCGAACTAGGGCATGACCTCCACTAGCTTTTTTGGGGTCTTTGGCCTCTTCCTCTTCTTTTTGGTGGCTTTGGCTGGCTCTTCTTTTCCGGGTACTCTTCCCCCCTCTTCGTGCCTACGGAGGAGTGGCGAGAACGACTCCAAGGATGATTCCCCGGCGGGAAGCAAAGAGGACTCTGTACTCACGCCTCCGGGAAACTCTCAATCGGGGGCCTGCAGCAGGAGTCGCACAAAAAGCAGAAAGAAAAGGACAAGAAGAAAAAGGAGGCCAGGGTGGAGATGCGGCCGCCATTGCATTCTCATGTCTCTTCCGCTATTGGCGGCTATTCCACTGAAGGACAAGAAGGCAAAAGCCAAAGCTGAGAAGAAGGAGCGCGAAAGGGGAATCTGCAGCGTCTGAAGAGCAGACTTCAATCCCCCAATGTTCGATCGGGTAGTCCACCGAGCCGTAGTCGCCGAAGTGACGCGTGCATGAGTGCATGTGTGAGCGTCCCTGTTGTTGCACTTTGCTGAATGCTTGCACTCTGCAGGTGCAAAGTGCAGGCCTGTGGCAGCTTGTGGCAGCTTGCTGTCGTGAGATGGGGTTTTTATGGCAGGCATCATGAGCAAGTCCGGCATCGCCCGTGCCCCAAAGCGAAAACCTGGCGGGGCCCTGGCGGGGCCCTGCCGAGGCCTGGCCGCTCTTATTTCCCGAGGTCGGCAAGACGCTGATCGAAGGAAACGGCCACGGGCATGGCACGGCGCCCTTTCGAAAGGCCGAGGCAACGCAGCAACTCCAGCCAGTTGCCGTGCCAGGGCCGGTCGAGGTGAAGCAGCTCGAATTGGACGAGGCGAGAACCTGACGTCGAGGGGAGGTTTCTCCTTCGAAAGCGCTGAACGAACGTTGTTCTCTCGCGAGGTGAAGGTCCTGGAGGCCGGGGGACCGGGACACCGGAGCTCAGGGAGCATGCGCGGGCATTTCAGGAGCAGCTGGTCCAGGAAGCCGAGGAGCGACTTGGAGGAAAGAGGGAAAAGAACCAAACGTCCCAGGAACGCACGCCTTTGACCGCTGCTCCGAGGTTCATCTGCAAGATCTGCCAGATCTACGTGGTCGGGCTTGGGCCTCGCAGCGGGCTGGGGTTGGGCTCTCTCCTGTGTCGTGGTGTTGGGGGCCCAGGTGCGTCCCAAAGCTGACGACCTGCTCCCACATCTTCTGCGGAGATTGCATCGCAACCTGGCCAGGGGGCCCCAGAGAGCCGCTAGTGGCGCTAAGTATCCGCAGTGAGAGGGGCTGAGGGGCTGAGTCCTTCAACTCCTCGACTCCAGGTTCAACCAGCATCCAGACACCCAGACATGGGCACAGCGAGCAAAGGCTGCTGGCCCCGATCGGTGTGTACCATGCCCTGCAGGGGCCCAAGCCTTCAGAGCCGAAGAGCCGTCTTAGGCCAGCCTTGTTTGAGGTGTGCAAGAAGTCTCTAAATGAGAACCATGATCTGTCTCCGGTGCCACCTGCTTGCACTATGTCACCGTGCCTTCGGATGCCGGTAAGACAGCTTTCTACATGCATGATCCTCAGCCGAGGTGTAGCAACACGCAGCGGAGTGAGAACGTCCTCCTGTGGAGAATGCTTTCGCAGAAAAGGATTGTTTGCCTGGCGCACAGGAGACACTCACTTCTGGCGGCGGTCGAAGCTTGAGTCGCTGCGAGGCCAGAACAATCCGAAGGTGAGGGGCGAAACTGGAAGATGTGATTGGATCGGCGAGTGCGCGGAGCGAAGAGCAGCCCTTCGTGCAAGTCGTCGTGTGATGTTCTCTGTGTGTGTGTGCGAGGTACTGTAACTACCAAAAGCACATAGACATCTGCAAAAACGTCCCGCTTGCAGAAGCTGGATATCCTGCAGAGGTCGGGGCTCGGAGGGCTGTACATCAGGATGCATCAGGTTGCAGTTCCAGCAGGTCTCCTCCGCTCCCAAGGAGGCTCCCGTCGTAGAGAAGGTGCTCTTCGCGCAATCACCCGCAGTTCTGTGGAGTCGTTGGTGGGAGGATGGCAAAGCATCACCATTCTCGTCTGAAGGCCCCATGCGTGCCTCCTGTGCCGTCAAAGCAGTTGGCGACGTCACCTCCCGCACCTCCGGCCCGAAGCTGAGGATGTTGAGGCTCGGACGGATGTGAGCCAAGCACTGGTGGACTAAGGTTCAAAACACCGGCCCGGCCCTCATAGCCCTGCGAAGGATTCAGTGACACGGGGTCTCTTTCACAGGTCCGACAACTCCAGCACCGAAGCAGGCCGGTGGTGGAAGCCACCGAGAGAGAGAGGCGTTTGGTGCAGATGTCTTGGAGGCAGCTGCTCCAACCAAGACGTCAGCGCCGACGGCCAGCCTCCCCAGCATCAAAAAGCATCTTGGAGAGCGAGCGAGAGGGAGCGAGACGGCCGCCCTCCCTGTGAGGTGCCCGCGCAGGCCATGGCCACTGCGCCGGCCATGGTGCCCAACGGGACCAACTCGGCCCCTTTGGCGCCTTGTGCGCCGAGCGCCCCACCGTCAGGACCAAGTCGCAAAGCCCCCCTCTTGTGCCAATGCACAAACAACGCCGGGGGAAAATCTGCAGGCGTCAGACCGACGGCGCAAGGGGTTGCGCCGGTGCCGGCAGTCCCATCGCCAGCCCTGCGCCCCGAGGCAGGAGCGAAGTTCAGTGAGGAAAGGGAGAGAGGGTGTCACTCTGAGAGCTTCTGAGGTGGTGAGAGTGCAGACAAGGCCGCTTCGCATTCCTGCCACCTCAGCGTTGATCTGTGGTTTGGGTAGGTCCGAGTACGACATCGGTGTTGGTGGCAGTCTCAGAATCCTCCAGGCAGTGACTCCGACAGCCTTTTCTGGATCCAAGGTGCGTCCCCGGCCCCAGCAGCTCAGCAGTCGGTGCAGCCGCAGGCTCGTGCGCTTGAGACTTTACCAAACCGACACGCTCTAGTCACTTGCCCAGATGCAGATGCAGCAGCCGTGACTCGTCCTGGATTCGTAGCATCCTTGAGAATTCGCGGGGCTGGGGCTCGACGCAAGGCGAAGAGACGTGCTTTTCACCGGCAGAGCAGTTGGCAACTTCGAAGCCACCGGTCCCACAATGGTCTGCCCCTGAGCCGTGTTTTTTTTTGTCTTTTTAAACTGTTGCGGTTACACAGACGTCTGGTCGGGCGGGGGTCCTGGCCAAGAGGCCGCTAGAAATGCAACGCACTTGCCTTGCATCTCTTTTTTGTGCCTTGAGATCGTACTCGAGGTTCCTGTCCGACAAGGTGATCTGATTGAGGCCTCGATGCGAATATGACATAGTGTGCCCACGAAAAGAGTTGCATATTCCACCATTCAGGTGCTGGAAACAGATCCTTCTGGCTGGACCTTTGCCAGAAACACCTCAGTGCTCAGCTCAGTGAAAGGCAGCCGTCCAGCGATGCAGCTCGCAGCCGCAAATCGCTCGCCGAGGGCTCCAGCTCCACGGGTTGGGTGCCAACTTGGATCGTCGGGACCCCGCCTGCGGCGTTCACTCTCTGTGTGCATCTGTGTGCTGTGCTGTGGTTTGACACAGGTACCCCCGCCCATCGAACCTGCACAGGCACAGAGACCCGCCACTGGCCCAGCTCGGAAACATCAGCCTGGAACGGGCAACGCGGGGCTGAAGTCGATTCCGCAAGTGCCCGCGGAGTTTCTCCTCTTAGGTTCCGGAGGTGCAACAAGCACTTCAGACGCGGCAAGTGCAAGCCGTGCAAGCGCAAGCGCAAGCGCAACCTGTGCAGCCCCGGCCTCTGCAAGAGATTCGCGAGGGAGAATGAAGGGCGATGCCTCTTGCAAGGCGGGAGACGCGGGAGAGAGACGCAGCAAGCCGAGATGGTGTCCGGTTTGGGGGCCTTGGTCGCGTCTTGGCCATGCTTTGCTCAGGTCCCTCAGCGACAGGAGAACAGAACCGAGGCACAGGGCCCCCCCGCAGGGCCCCGCAGGGCAGAGACTCAGCTGTGGCGTCTCACGCGGTCTCTCAGGCCAGAGGGCTCGCTCGCGCGCTCCAGCCCTTCACTTCCGGTAGTGATTCTCAGATGACTCTGAACACATCGGACCGCCGAAAGGGTACAGAGATGCACAGAAGAAATTGATCTTCAGAGAGCAGGAGGGAGAGCTAAGCACGAAGACAGCCGCGAAGGATTACGTGGAGATCGTGGAGCGCCACCACACGGGCTGGACATTCGGCCGCAAGGCACTGCTATCCACTTGTCTCGTGGGAAGAAGCCGCGCGGGCCACAGTGATCTTTGCAGGTGGATGCAGTCGGAACTGCGGTATCCGAGGGTTGGTTCCCAGACTGGGTCCGACACCTCAACTTTGCTCTGTGGCAGAGCAGCAAGAATTGCTTTGCCAGGTCTGCAATCCCAAGCCGCCCGGCGGCACCAGCTGCTGCCAGCGCGTAGCATCGCGTAGCAGTGCATTTCACAACGGTCCGAGCGCTGAGTTTGCAGCGAGGCCGTGAAGCGCAGTCGTGAAGCTCCGCTTCGCCCAACCGGCATGGCCCTGCGACGCCCCTTTGAGGGCTTCATCGCTGCACTCCCTGCCAGGCATCTCACCTTTTTTCAGCAGTTGGTGCATGGCCGGTTCGCTTAGTGTTTGCAGCTCAGAGTTCAGCTCCTGAGCTTCGCCAAGCTACGCCAAGCTACGCCAAGCTACCCAGGGTGCCATCCGACGTTGTGGCTCGTGACTGGAGTGAGCAGATGCTGCGAGCATTTAGCACGACAGAGCTGGTATCAAGCTTCTCTTCTGCTTTATTCCGCGCAGCATTTGGACAGACAGTTTTGTCCTTTAGCCAGCATTCACGATTAGCCCGAGCGTTGGCAACAGCCGCACAGCCTTGGGCCGCAAGCATCAGGAGATTCTGAAATCAGAGACATGCTGCTATGCGACAGACTTCAAGGGTCTTCTCGACGCTTGCCAGACCAGAGTTCCAAAGTGCTCCGGCTAGTGTCAAACTGCTGCATGCTCCAAAAACAGCCCATGCGACATTCGGCCACCCGTCAGAAAAAAAGAGCTCCCTTTGTCCAGTGCGGCGTATGCTCTGCCATGCTCCGCCCTTTGAATGCTGTGCGGTGTTCAGTGTTGATCCTTGCTGCAGTCTGCAGCCGCTGCAGCAGGAATTTGTTTGCCTGGCTATGGGTGGCCTTAAGAATGAATGACCCATCTCTGGATGATGGCGAGGAGAGAACTCGATTCACAGCGCTCCTTTCTCTGCCTTGTGTTGTCGAGGAAAAAAGCCACAGCATCGAGGACCTCTTGCGAGCTTTGGAAAAGCATCGTGCGCTCGCCCAGCGATGCCCATGCCTTGAGGTGAGAGCTGTGAATTGAGTCCTAAGGTGTCGAATGTGAGCAGGCGGGCAGGCCGGGGCCCGACGGGGGGAGGACGGCATGGCCGCACGGTGCTTGCGGCAATTGCAGTGCGCTCGCGCCGTGGCGTAGGTACGAGGAGGCGGAGCTGGCACGGCTCCGTTTGGACCAGCTCCGACAGCACGAGGCCATGGCGGCAGCCGCGGAGCCGCGGATGCAGCGCCCGCGTGCCTTGAGGAGCGGAGTCGCCGGGATGCCCTCATGGAGCAGCAGCACGGGGCCCAGAAAGGAGAGAGCAGCACAGCAGCGGAATGAGCGAGCACCTCGTAACTCTGTTTTTGACCCCCACATGGCGGAACTCCACGGCCGCCACCGTTGGCCGAACTTCCCCTCCATGAAAAGCACGTCGAGGTGGTCGGCAAGGCCGGAGACTAGACGACCCTCACTCTGCGTGCAGCAGTCCTTGAACCTCTGGTAGAAGACTCCGCACTGGGACTCCGCTTCGCAGACACTCCGTCGCTCAGAATCGCTGCACGCTCCATGCCCTGCTGCCAGCGTTGAACTCGCACGCCTCGCTTTTGCCGCCGATGTCGGCTCCTGACTCCGCTCGCCTGCATCGCTTGCATCGTGGCTTTTCTCCTCGTGAGCTTGGCTCGCCGAAGGGCCTTGTCCTGTTTTTGACAACCCCAGCTTGACTGCCGTAAGCCGGACGGATCTGACCACGTGACCGTTCACCAGCATTGATTTCCCACGGTACCCATCATCGGGGCCGCAAAGTGACCCCTATTGCAAGGCAAACTGAGACAAGGCAAAGTGCCCCAATCTGCCGAAGAACTCCGAGTATCCCATAGTTGTGCGCGCTACCTTTTGTAAAATCAAAGGATCACCACATGCCTCTTCCCCCGATGGTTGTACGGCTGAGTCTTCTTACACCCAGACAAAGAGCTCGAGCCTCCTTCAGCATGATGTGTTCACTTGAATCACCCCAACGCCCCATCTTGACAGTGGTCCACTCGCCAGGGCCTCCATGATATTGGTGAGGAACTTCATGAACTTTCCGTCATCAGGCGCATAGCTTTACCTAAAAGCACTTGGTGGAGGCGAGGTGTAGGCGGAGCTGTGCTCCGATTCGGAGGGGAATGCGGCCATGTGTAGCGGGGGCTCCTGGGGGCTAGCAGCTCTAGATGTAACTTTTTTATTGGCCTAGATGTAACTTGTTTTTTGGCCTACACGTAACTTTTTCCTGCGTGCACACATCCCCTCTGCCCAGCCCAGCAGCCCCAACCCAGCCCAGCCCAGCCCGGCCCAGCCCATTCGGGGCTCGGCACCCAAGCAAGCCCAAGCACTAAGTGGGTAGCCAAAGCCAAGAGTACCGGAATCAGCAACGTGTTGCTGCTCAAGTGGATTTGTCCATGATGTCAGGTTAGGGCCCAGGGTGTTTCGGGGCTCGCCTCTAAGATCTGTGGCATACATTTTCAGCTGAGTTGGGGGTTGCTGTTCCTGGGTAGGTACTCTTCCTAAGCAAACCGCCCAACTGTCTGACCCCACACCGGCAGTCGCGTCAAGCAACCCGCATCTCCAATGATAAGGATGTACCCCGCCTGTGCATGGGCCAGGATTTGGCCACGAAATGCGCCAGCACGTGGACCGGAAACCTTTCGTCTCTTCGTCTGTCCTATGTGGTCTCTTGGTCGTCTCGTCGTGGTCTTCGCGCGGTCTCCCGGGTTCTGCCGGCGGTCCGGAGTCTTCTTCTCTGGTAGTCTCTTGGTGGTCTCCCGGTAGTTTCCCTGTGGTCTCTTGGTCTCCTGGTGCGGTCCGGAGTCTCTTCCTGCGCGATTTGCCTTTGCTGAAGCAAAGGGGATTGCAAGAACGTCAAAATGTATTCCCGCCTTGTTTGGCATGTTTTTCTGTATGCAGGAGCCATTGCCACCATGCTTCTCGTCTGTGTTTAGTGGTGTCAAGGCTTGTCATGTCACCGCGGAACAAACATGGGCTGGAGATGCTTCGGGTTACACATCCAGTTAGCTTACATCAGAGATCTTCGGACTTAGTAAGAGGACGAAAACCTTCCGTGCACCTACCCACATGTGATTCTCGTGCAGCAAGCTGGAGCTTTGCTCAAGCGAGCCTCGGAGCTTTGCTCAGAGGGAAGCGGTGCAGGAATGGTGTGTGGCATGCCGTAGCCATACGTGCACCTTCTTATGCTGGAGCTTTGCTCAAGCGAGCGTCGGAGCTTTGCTCAGAGGGAAGCGGTGCAGGAATGGTGTGTGGAGGGCATGCCGTAGCCATACGTGCACCTTCTTACGCTGGAGCTTTGCTCAAGCGAGCCTCGGAGCTTTGCTCAGAGGGAAGCGGTGCAGGAATGGTGTGTGGAGGGCATGCGAGGGTGCACATATGCATCATGGTCAAGCTCGGCAATCCATCGCCGCGACAAAATGCCTCGATGCTCGGATGCTCGTGTGAACATACATACGTGCGTGCGCCTTGATTGGTCAGAGCATTTGCCACACGTCACAAAGCGCAAGAACGTTTGCAGCTTCTGAAAATCTCTGCCAAATAAAGCTCTACATCCTAAGCCCTAAACCGTTTAGGGTGTAAGGTTTAGGGTAATCCCACCAGGAACTTTAGGCCGAGGACGAAAACCCAAAGGACTAAAACCAGGAGGAACCTTTGACCGAAGACGAAAACCCTGAGGAGTAAAACCCGCGTGAACCTCTGGGCCCAGCATGAACCTTGAGGAAGCACGAATCTTTTGCAAAAGACGAACTTCCGCACGAACCATTGACCAAAGACGAAATCCCTAGGGAGTAAACCCCGCAGGAAGCTTTGGCCGAGGACGAAAACCCTAAGGAGTAAACCCCGCAGGAACCTTTGGCCGAGGACGGAAAACCATAAGGAGTAAACCCAGCAGGAACTTTTGGCCCAAAACGAAAACCCGAAGGAGTAATCTCCACACACACACCCTTGGCCGAAGACCCTAAGGAGTGAACCCAGAGGGGCAAAGGCGAAAACCCGGAGGAGTAAACCCAGCACGAACCTTAAATCAAAGACGAGAACCCTAAAGAGTAAACCCAGCCGAAGACGAAAACCCTAAGGAGTAAAGCCAGCACGAACCGTCTATGAAAGACGAAAGCCCTAAAGAGTAAACCCAGCAGGAACCTCTGGCCGAAGACGAAGACCCTGCAGAGTAGCAAACCTTTGGCCGAAGACGAAAGCCCTAAGGAGTAAACCCAGCACGAACTTTTGACCAAAGACGAAAACCCAAAGGACTAAACCCAGCAGGAACCTTTGGCCGAAGACGAAAACCCTTAGGACTAAACCCAGCAGGAGACTTCTACGAAAGACGACAAACGCCAAGGCGTAAACCCCGCAGGAACCTTTGGCCGAAGAGGACAACTGTAAGGAGAAAACCCAGCACGAACCTTCTAGAAAAGACGAAAACCAACAGGAGTAAACCCAGCAGGAACCTTTGGCCGAGGACGAAAACCCTGAGGAGTAAACCCAGCAGGAAGTTTTGTCCGAAGACGAAAACCCTAAGGAGTAAACGCAGCAGGAAGCTTGTACGAAAGACGAAAATCCCTAAGGAGTAAACCCAGCAGGAAGTTTCGGCCGAAGACGAAAACCTATGAACTAAACCCCGCAGGAACTTTTGGCCGAAGACGAAAACCCTAAGGAGTAAACCCAGAACGAATTTTTGAAATAAGACGAAAACCCTGAGGACTAGACCCAGCAGCAACCTTTGGCCGAAGACGAAAACCCTAAGGAGTAAACCCAGCACGAAACGTCTACGAAAGACAAAAACCCTGAGGAGCAAACCCAGGAGGAACCTCTGGCCGAAGACGAAAACCTTGAGGCACGAAACTTGCTGGAAAGATGAAAAACTCCAAGGACTAAGCCCCGCAGGGACTTTTGGCAAGCCTATAAAGGAGTAAACCCAGCAGGAACGGAACCGTCTGCAAAAGACGAAAACCCCTGACAGGTAAGCAGTCAGATCGAGAATGTGCTGCCTTTGCTCAAGCTTGTAGATGGACTTTGTCAGGCTCGTGGGTCTTTTGAGGGAAGGGGTTTCTACTAACCTTTGGGGTCTTGGGTGCCCCCTTCACTGTCACCCCACCTCTTTGACCGCCCTCACCTTGGCACTTACTGTGGGCTGGA